TTACTCTTGAACTTGAATAGGAAGTCATATACTGGCAATTTACTGTGACCTTGAAATTGACCCTTGACCTACCTTACGAAGAACTTAAATTTGATTGTACCATATATATTTTTTGCAATAGTTTAAAAATTCTTGTTGATTGCATTTTTACAGCTTGTCAAGCACAAAACTGGTGGCTGTGTCCCTTATTTTGTGTATGTGGGGGTCTATACGAATGCGCTTGCTCCAGCTGGTGGTACAATATTCGGAGGCGGTATCGCCTCTCTGATCCTCTAGTTTTATTTGGTATCATAAACATCCAAATCACGTCCTTAGTAGATGAGGGTTAGACAGTGTGGATAAAAAGCTGCCTATTACAGGCTCATGCAAATAATACTTTGAAGATACCAGAGGGAACATAATGCTAAGGCAGTGTTCACACAAGATGGTGGATATCTGGCCTTTTGTATTGAGGTCATCAGTTCTAACCTACTTGGATTCAATTACATCTTTGTACCTGAGCTTTTGGTTTTTGTTGTTGTTTAATGACGTATTTCATTAATTATTAGGATCTTCTATGTTAAGATATAATATAACATATTAAATTATTAAATTACAATGTACAAAAATAACAAATGTTATACAATATATCCCCTTGCTGAAATGTTCATGTATTGGTTTTGAAATAAATATATATTTTTTTCTGATATTTTTTTTTAAGCTGTCCCTCTTCTATGACTTCCTGTTGCCCATGTGCAGTGCCATAACTGAACAGCAGTACGTGGATAATGTGGAAGGCAAAAAAGACACGCCTGTTTCCATGGCAACCAGTGAGACAGATGTCTACAAGCGAGCAAGAAGACTACTGTGGCGAAATCTATCAGGACTGAAGCTAAAAGCAGGTTAATGGGTGAAACTAGAAAAATAATTTGACAGGACCGAAAATATTTATGCTTTTTTAGAATTATTTTTGTCTTTTGGTTGTTCAATAGCAAAATTTATTTATGTTCAAACTTGTTTGTTATGCAGCAACTAAGGATTATTGATGCTAAGTATCTAGTGTAGAATTTTAGTGAAATATAGTGAAAAAATAAGCTGAAGAATAAACAAAACAGTTGATGACAATCATGAAATGCATTTAACTTTAACAAGCATGCTAGATTTGAAGTAGCAGACACTGTTTCTGTTTGATTTTCATCGTATTGATTTTACAGTACCAGACTAGATTATGAACTTCTTGCTAGACAAGGAGCTCCTTGCTAAAATAGGAACTCCATACTAGACTAGGAACTCCTTGCTAGACCTATAAGAACTCCTTTCCATATACATTTAGTGCATTTTTTCTTAACTTAATTCTATTTTTTTTAGTTTTGATAGAAGATGGAGGTTTTGAATATCTGGCCAGAACTGGGGAGCAACATCGCAGACATGTCCTGGAGTGCCCCCTTAAGACTCTGGCCAGTTGTAATAGCAATGTCATGTGGCAAAACATGGCACATTCTCACATAACTGTAAGTTATTTAACAAGACCTACAGAACTAGACTTTGAAAAAAAGAACAGTATACAATTCCATATAAATGTTGTAATAACAACATTATCTGGTGAAACTTTGCATTTAGAAGTCTCATTACTGAAAAGAAATTAAGAGTAGAGAATTTTTATATGGTGCTGATAATAAGAGTACTGCCTCTGATTCATATAATACATCTTCCATTTTATTTTGAATAACCACACAGATTATTTATAGCCTATTAATGCTATTATTTTCCTTTTTTTGTAATCTAGAAAGATGCAACAATAGATGGCAGCTGTGTTGTTCTAAATTCTATGATTGAAGGTCACATTACTGTGGCAGCAAGGACAACCATCTCACACTGTGACCTCAAAGGTCACATTACAGTTGGCAAGGGCTGCGTGCTCAACAATGTGGCACTGACACCAGAGGAGTTCAAGGTGAGACTGGGACCACCCACTGACTGATTTTATACTATAACCAGTTCAAAATTGAAATCCACTGTGGTGTTAAAAGGGGTTGATTTGACTCAGGTTGGGATAGAGAGAGAGGGAGATAAAGAGATGTTTGAGATAAGTCCATGCCATATTTAGTTGTCAAAGGTCAAGGCCCTGGCAGAGAGAAAGAATTAATATACGGTAATGACTCGATCTTTTCAATGGGGAAAATTGTGAATTTTACAGATACTGTATTTTTAAGTCAATTTCTTAAAATTAGAGTATTCCTATTAAGTGGTTACAACAAAATTGAAAAGCAAACTACCTTATAGTTCTATTCTATGCATTAAAAGCTACACAAATGCTATAAAAATATAATTTTTTTTATTTTAAAATGATGTATCTGAAAGTTTGATCATTTTTGTCCATTGAAAAGATCGAGTCATTACCATAATTTTTCCAGTTTAGGTGGTTGCAATTAACTGGGGCAGCTTGCACACATGGCACAATCTGGCATTGTTTGTGACTGACAAAATACTTAAATAAAGTTCAGATTTTGTTTATACCATAAAGCATGATTATTCTTGTCAACATTTTTTTATTGTAGCAGAACATTGGTAAATTATTTCATCCTTTTAAGAGGCAAGAAATTATTGAAATTGTGTGGTAAACAGGTTCCCAATGTTTGGTTTCAGAAAAACCAGTTCAGCATTCCTGATGATATTGTTCTTCAAGGATTTCATATCAAGCTTTCTATGGGGAAAGATGAGAACAGACAATATGTTCTTGTTGTGTTTGGGGTACATGACATCTTGAAAGTAAGTCTGTTGCCAAGACTCAATCTTCGGTTTTTAGGATTTTTGCATAAAGAAAATTTATACAGAAGATTTGTAAGTGACATAATTTTGGTATTGTATGTGACCTAGACACAATTTAACCAATGTGACCCATACACTATATCCTTAGTATTGGATGTGACCTCGACAGAATGCAACCTTGATAAGGCATATTTTATGGTATTTCTGTACCTAATGACATGCCTAAAACTATTTGGCTTTATTTTGCTTTTATTGTCTTTTAGATACCAATATGGCAAGAAAAAAGTACTTTCTGTAACCGACCGTGGTACGAGTTTCTGCGTTCATCAGGAGTGACCAAGCATGACCTTTGGCCAGCTGAGAAAGTATGCACATCCTGTATACTGTAACACTTAGTCTTGATTTCTATAATATAAATAATACTATTGATTAATAAAATTACAAATGTTGGATTCATCCAATTTGAAGACTCCAATGAAATGTTTACAGTTTATTTCTTTAATATAACTCAAGCCCATAATTTACCTGTGTCATTCTTAATATAATAATGATATATCACAGTTGTTGTTTTTTTTCTTCCAGAGTGACAATGAAAAATCCCTGTTTAATGCGAAGTTATTTCCTGTTCTACACATCAGGCAGCCTATCAGCTTGAAGGATATCACGTGGCTGATGGGCATGGACAAGAAAGATAACTTGTTGGATAAGTATGTGCACTGTATATGTAATGATGACATGCTTAAAGTAGTTGTATATGTGGATTTATTTATTTATTTATTTATTTATTTATTTATTTATTTATTTATTTATTTATTTATTTATTTTTAATTAATTTACTTATTTATTTATTTATTTATTTATTTATTTATTTATTTATTTATTTATTTATTTATTTATTTATTTATTTATTTATCACTGCCAGTATTTCCTGGATATTATTGTCTACTCTGTAAAACTCTTTTTACTTCTTTCTTTGCTAACTCCCAAGTGAGTTTATAATAAATTCTGTTAGTCATTACCTGTTTTTTATTTGCTAGCAAGAGTTGGATGTATTTCATGAACATTTTATTCAATGGATTAAAAACGTAGGCTCTGTACTGTTAATGTAAGTTGTAGTTTGACAATTTTTTATATTTAACTCTGCAGATGGAGAGCATCCTGGCGTCTGTCTCTAGAGGAAATACTGAAATGTGTGGACCTAGCTCTGGAGCTGAAGAAAAGAGAGTGAGTGACCTTGACAATTACCTTCACCATGACCTTGACCTTGACCTAGAGTGTAACTGTGATACAAAATGTCTCCTCATAGAAGTCAGGACCTTGACAGTGCACTTAATTGAGCGTTGGATAATTTAAAAAAAAATAGGTTTAAATGTCTGTGGACACAACCTTCTTGTGTTGAAATATGCATATTACACTATCAGCTAGATTTTTCTAAAAGAGGACAGCACAAGATTTAATTGACTAAAACAATGAGTTATTCAAGAATGCAATAGACAATGCTAACTTATGACAAAAGTTTATAAGCAGTCACTGACCTTTAAGAGCAGATATTTTGTTTGAGAACAAGAAGATAGATATTAGGGCTTCGTTCACATGCAATGTCTATTTTCTAAATTCTATTTTCTATTTGCGGTATGTCTTATGATCACGGTCTGTGGCCTGAATATCCCGCGGTGTAATTACTGGCAGCGCGAGCCAGTTACTATAAGTTACTAGAAG